TGACAAGGCACTTCAGACTGACTGGGCCTGCCTCTTGACAAGGCACTTCAGACTGACTGGAACTGCTCTTGACAAGGCACTTTTCAGACTGACTGGGCTGCCTCTTGACAAGGCACTTCAGACTGACTGGGCTGCCCCTTGACAAGGCACTTCAGACTGACTGGGACTGCCTCTTGACAAGGCACTTCAGACTGACTGGGACTGCCTCTTGACAAGGCACTTCAGACTGACTGGGACTGCCTCTTGACAAGGAACTGTTCAGACTGACTGGGGCTGCCTCTTGACAAGGCACTTCAGACTGACTGGGCCTGCCTCTTGACAAGGCACTTCAGACTGACTGGGCCTGCCTTTTGACAAGGCACTTCAGATTGACTGGGCCTGCCTCTTGACAAGGCACTGTTCAGACTGACTGGAGCTGCCTCTTGATAAGGAATTCAGACTGACTAGGGCTGCCTCTTGACAAGGCACTTCAGACTGATTGGTGCTGCTTCTTGTCAAGGCATTTCAGATTGATTGGGGCTGCTTCCTGACAAGGCACTTTCGACTGATTGGGGCTGCTTCTTGAGAAGGCACTGTTGAAAATGGTTTTTACACATAAGGTGAACAGTTAGAAATGTATCTGTAATGTACTATATGGATGATAAATATAAAGAATAATTCAGCTGACTTCAGGTATAAAAATGTATATTCCAAGCATTTATAAAATTGATGCCAACATTATGCCTAAAATCACCACACAAATATATGTTTACCTCTACAGCTGCTAGTGCTATGGTTGTTTCAACAGATGGATTTACTTCTACTGTGTCTCCATCCCATAATGGGCACATCCTTTGAATATTTGAATCTGGTTTCAATATCAATAAATACTTGTTATTTTTTTGATCATCCAATCCAGGATCATGTAGATCATCTTTACCAAATGTGACATTCAGCAACTGCAAAATCTGACTTCTTTCATTCTTAAGATTCTGTGGTATGAAAAGCTGATAGTCAGATGTTCTGGATGTCACCACCTACAGTATAAAGAAAGTAACAGCAGCAATAAATATATAATTCATTTGTCTGGAACAAACTGCAACCATGTGACTTCAACACATAATACATGTAATGGCCAAACTGACAACTGCAACCATGTGACTGCAATACATACTAATGGTCAAACAAACTGACAACTGCAACCATGTGACTGCAACACATACTAATGGTCAAACAAACTGACAACTGCAACCATGTGACTGTAACAAATACTAATGGTCAAACAAACTGACAACTGCAACCATGTAACTGCAACACATACTAATGGCCAAGCTGACAACTGCAGCCATGTGACTGCAACACATACTAATGTTCAAACTGACAACTGCAACCATGTGACTGCAACACATACTAATGTTCAAACTGACAACTGCAACCATGTGACTGCAACACATACTAATGGTCAAACAAACTGACAACTGCAACCATGTGACTGCAACAAATACTCATGGTCAAACAGACAACTGCAACCATGTGATTGCAACACATACTAATGTTCAAACTGACAACTGCAACCATGTGACTGCAACACATACTAATGTTCAAACTGATAACTGCAAACTGGTGACTGCAACACATACTAATGGCCAAGCTGACAACTGCAGCCATGTGACTGCAACACATACTAATGTTCAAACTGACAACTGCAACCATGTGACTGCAACACATACTAATGGTCAAACAAACTGACAACTGCAACCATGTGACTGCAACACATACTAATGTTCAAACTGACAACTGCAAACTTGTGACTGCAACACATACTAATGGCCAAGCTGACAACTGCAGCCATGTGACTGCAACACATACTAATGTTCAAACTGACAACTGCAACCATGTGACTGCAACACATACTAATGGTCAAACAAACTGACAACTGCAACCACGTGACTGCAACAAATACTAATGGTCAAACAGACAACTGCAACCATGTGATTGCAATACATACTAATGGCCAAGCTGACAACTGCAGCCATGTGACTGCAACACATACTAATGTTCAAACTGACAACTGCAAACTGGTGACTGCAACACATACTAATGGCCAAGCTGACAACTGCAGCCATGTGACTGCAACACATACTAATGTTCAAACTGACAACTGCAACCATGTGACTGCAACACATACTAATGGTCAAACAAACTGACAACTGCAACCATGTGACTGCAACACATACTAATGGTCAAACAAACTGACAACTGCAACCACGTGACTGCAACAAATACTAATGGTCAAACAGACAACTGCAACCATGTGATTGCAATACATACTAATGTTCAAACTGACAACTGCAACCATGTGACTGCAACACATACTAGTGTTCAAACTGACAACTGCAAACTGGTGACTGCAACACATACTAATGACCAAGCTGACAACTGCAACCATGTGACTGCAACAAATACTAATGGTCAAACAAACTGACAACTGCAACCATGTGACTGCTACACATACTAATGTTCAAACTGACAACTGCAAACTGGTGACTGCAACACATACTAATGGCCAAGCTGACAACTGCAACCATGTGACTGCAACAAATACTAATGGTCAAACAAAC